ACCGTTTTGTTTCTACTTCCATTTCATCATTTTGATGGAACAGCGTTTCATTTAGAGTTTCGTTTTGAAACCACTATTCCATTTTGTTTTGTCAAAACTGTTTTGCTGTTTTGACGTTTCACCCACAGGCTATAATGGGGAAGCACGAAACTGCCTATAACTCATTTCATGCCTGATTCAAATTAAACTTGGAGGGATGGTAGCTCCTTCTGAGGCCATGAAGCCTGTCAAGTTTTAAGGAGATAGGTGCACGGGTTTCTGGGAAACTTCACTCAAACTGTTCAGAGCAAAACTTGTGTTACTTGTAAGCGTGAAGGCACAGAAAAAGCTCAGTTCAAACAATGCTTTTTATGCTGTTTTTCCATCCCTCCCCCAGAGCACTGGGATTGGAAGGGATCTCAGGGAAGGATCACAGACACTGGCCAGTTACACAATCAATATCAGAGCAGTCCTTCCCCACTCTTCCCCTTCCCTCTCCTTAGTTTCTGTTTCCCTGCAAGCAAGCCAGCTTCAAAACTCAAAATATTTCAAAACATTTCAATTGCCTTCGTTTCATTTCAAGGCTGTTTCGAAGACTTTCGTTTCAATTTCGCTGTTTTGAGCTCAAAACGAGTTGAAACAGCATCGAAACGAAACAGCCGGTGAAATCTCGCACAGCCCTACCGGGAAGCACCCTTCTTGGGGAGGGCTTCCCCTCAGCCCAACCCAGGGTCCCTCAGCCCCAGGTAGACCCAGGGAACTGAGAGAATTCTTCCTCTGGGGAGCTGTGCTCGCCTTTGCCCTGCTAGTCTCAGGGATAGCCCAGGGAGTGGAGGGAAACCCTTGCATTAGTTTTTCCTCATACTCTCAGCATCTAAGGCAAAACCAGCTGCAGAGAAGCAGGAGAGTTTCTCTCCACTCCCTGGGCTATCCATGAGACTAGCAGGGCAAGCAGGGTTCCCCAGGGGAAGAACCCTGGGCTAGGTTGGAGGAAAGCCTCCCAAGACTTGAGCTCCCTGGTGCCCCCATACTGGGCTGCATGGGCAGGCACCCAGCCCGGAGGACTCCTCCCTCCTTTCTGTGGCAGCCACTGAAGCAATCAGCAGGTGTGAAGCAGGAGGGGGGAGGTCTGAAAAGTCCCCACAGGGGTTTTCCCTCCCCCCCTCCCCCCCCATGTGCTGTGTAGACCCTGGCTAGGGGAGCTAGGGGTCTGTTCCCCCGCCCCTCCACTCTATCCTTGTGGGCTGATGGACACCAGAAGTAAGCAGGCTAAGAAACAGAGGAAAGGCAGTCTCTGCTTCACTGGAACAGGTAGCATAGCCCAGGGTGTAAAGTAGGGCTGTGAAAAGCTTTGGTAGCCAATTTGATTCAGAGGAGATGCGGCAGCCAATCTCCGAATCCAAATCAAATCAGGAGACCCATTAAAAGGTCTGAATCGAATCAGAAGCATCCAAATCAATTTGGAAAAAATTTGGAAAAATTCGGAAGGCAGGCTTGCAGGAAACAGAAACTGAGAAGGAGGGAGGGGGAAGGGCTGATCTGATACTAACATCTGCAGCTGGCCAGTGACTGTGATCTTTCCCCGAGTTCCCTTTCAATTGCAGTGCTCTGAGGGAGGGACGTAGAAACAACACACTTGACATCGTGTCAACTGATCTGTTTCTGTACTTCGCTTCATCAACCTCCTAGATAGAAAAAACTCATGGACTCAATATAGACATTGGATTTATGACACACTATAACCTGCCTAACATCTGACTCCCCAGGTATCTCTCCACTTTTACCTCCTACATTCCCCTTCCCCCCCTCACCTGTATCTCACCCCCAATGCCTCAATTTACATTTTCACTGGCTGGCTTTTTTGTTTGCATTGCATGCCAGCCTCTGATTTCTTCACTATTTGTTCCATCCAGGAAGAGCACACACACTAACTGCAGATGCTTTCTCAGCCTGACAAAGGGTTTTTAAACCCGAAAGCTCGCTAAACTATATTTCTCCAACTATTCAGTTGTCTAATAAAAGATACCAGATTGACCCAAAAAACCTTGTCTGCTTATGTCCTTAGACCAACGTTTCCCAACCTTTTTCACCCCGCAGCACATTTACATGGACTCCCCCACCCCATGGCCCACCAGCCAAGTTGCTGGGGGGGGGGGGGCCAAACACCATGGCGCGGGGGGGCAGGGGAAAGAGGGGAATCGGGTAGCGCGTGGCTGAACACCGCAGACTGGGAAGCGGGGGTTGCAAGGGGTGCAAACATTGCAGAGCAGCAAAAAGCAGGTGGCGCAGTGTTTGACTCACTGCCTGGAGCCACGCCACCTATCTGTCTGGCTGCCTGCAGCAGCAGCAGCTGGGAACATGGCTCCAGCCCAAAAATGTCACAGCACACCTGGACGTGCCTGACGGCATACCAGTGTGCCATGGCACACCGGTTGGGAAACACTGCCTTAGACCAACCTATCTATACCCCGTAACATGCACAAGTGATATGAGTTGCTTTCAGCAGTTTGAGGTGGTTTCCCAGAAACCCCTGCACCTATCTCCTTCAAACTTGGCCAGCTTCATGCCTTCAGAAGGAGCTACCATCCCTGTTTTCATTCAAATCTGCAAAAAAAATAACACTTACAGGTATTTTAGTGATTCCCCATTATAGTCTGTGGCCAAATCACCAAATCTTCAAATCTGATTCAGCTGAATCAAATTGGGACAATGACTCAAATCACCAAATCGAATCCCTGTCCTGCCGAATTGGCCTAATCTGAACCAAATACTTGCCGCTTTGCACAGTCCTACTGCAAAGCATCCTAGGATGATGGGAGACTGTGAGTTAACTTGAAGCAGGAAGGGGTCTGGAACAGAAGTTCCATAAACTGGTTTGACCTAAATCAGTCTGGTTTAGTCTGATTCAGACTAAACTGATTGAGTCTGGTTCAGTCTAGTAAATCAGCTTGACCTAAATCAGGTCTGGTTTGACCTAAATCAGACTTACTAATAAGTAAGTAAGTCTGATACTTCATTCAACCAGGTTTATCTTAAACTGGTTCCGGCCATTTTGAAAGCAGTTTATGTGCACTGAACTTCTGTTGTTACAGGTTTAAACCAGTTTCTGATCACTTAAACTGGTTTATCTGTAACTTCTAGCCCTAGCCATGTTGTGCAACCTAGTTGGCAGTAACATTTGATATATCTGGAGATGTGATGTTGTCGCCTCCTAGTTTTCTTATAGTTGCCCAAGCTTTCTTGCTGTTGTGTGTCAGATTTTGGGGTCCTCAATCTTCTCCTTCCAGGTGTTTCATCTCTCTACTCCTGTGTTGTCTATTAGGATTTCTCCCAGTGTAATGGTGGATTCTGAGGGGCTGAGATAGTATTCTCTCTCATAGATAACATCAAGGTCAGATGTTAAGCTCAAACACACCTGGGATATATTTTGCCCGGCTGCCTCATGGAATGGAGCGGCAGGCACTTCTCTTCACAGCCCTTTTAAAAGAATCTCACAGCCCCCCAGCTGAGACCAGAGACTTCAACAGTTGACATAAATAGTTGGGTACCTTGGGTAGTAAGAAAATAAGTACCTGTGTATCATTTCTACTCTAGAACATTTCCCTATTGCTCAGTTTCAGCCTATCACTTTTGCCCATATTAATTTATTTCTACCCTCTACTTTCATGTCTTCATTTTAAAAAGTCAGACCTAGTCCAAGAAGGGTATACATAAAAAAACCCCAAACCACCTTCTTATACACACAAGAAGATTTGCCAGTTTAGTGGTGTTGATTTCAACGGCAAAGGCATTTTTGCTAGTTTCCATTTGTTAATTCTAAGGCTAGAGGTGAACTTCATTCAGTTTGTTCTTGTGTATCAGAAGCTTAATAAATTCAAAACCAGTTATTGTGTAAATCCAGAGGAGTCAGTATGGTTGCCAAGGTACCACAGAGTGCCTAATCTGACAAGAACATTAGCAGCAACTCAATGTACCTGCATCTGGTAGAAAAAGACATGTGTATTCAGCTTACAAACATGTTTGATATGCAAGTCTGAGATAACACAACACAATGTTTATAGGCACTTTTCAGACAAGAATCACCATCTGGCCAAGTGAACAGAATCGACTTGCATGCATCTTAAACTTGCAACTTATAAAAGATCTTTCAGACCGTTGTTGCTTCATGATTACCTACAGTCCCTTCCCTGCAAAACCCAGCAAAGGAAATTTTATTGACGAGCTTTCTTTGAACCTCAGCTGATCACTTCCCTTCATCATTTACATCTGCCCCATCAGTACATACTTTCCTTTCCTGTTTTGTTTCTTTTCAGGACCTTGTGCACACATCCGTCTCCCACACACACAGTAGGAGCCGAGACCCCAGCAGCGGCAGCAGTCAGTAGTGGCCAACAAGGAGCATAGGCTGCAAAGTTAAGCCCTTGTAAGTTGCATACAGCTCACAGGATGAAAGTTAGACCATCTTGCCTTATCCATTCCTTCCAACAGGCAAAGGATGCATAAGGGGACTTCCCTTTCTAAAATTCATTTAAATCATCCTTTGTTATCTTCTGCATGACATGGGTCTGTACTGAATTAACAGCCAGATTCCCCAGGTACCTCTCCACTACTCCACTATTTACCAGCTACATTAATTCCCTCCCCGCTACAAGCTGTCTCTCGCCCACTGACGCCTCAATTTACGTCTTCACTGACTGCTTTTCTTGCATGCATGCAAGCCTCTGGCTTCTTTATTATTCATTCCATCCAGGAAGAGCACACACCAACTGCAGGTGCTTCCAAAACCTGACAAAGAGTATTTACACCCAAAAGCTTGCAAAGAAGAATTTTTCCAACTGAGTTGGTCTAATAAAAGATACCAGAACCTTGTCTGCCTGTGTCCTTAGACCAACATGGCTACAATCTATACCCCTGAGACTACACATATTGCATTTACGGTTACAAGTATGTTCACTGTTTATATGCACAATAACAACAGTAAATCATGTCTGAAATACTGGATAAGTACACCACATTGTAGGAGTATGTCTGAGTAGGACCTAATGCAAGGCAGTTATTGTCACAATCCTGACAGGCATCTTGGTGGTACTTCAATAAAAAGCTATTCAAACAATGCAAACATTAAGAAGGAAAAAACTAAGGATTACATTAACTTGCCTTTATTGCCAGTATTTTGTGAAATTCAAGGCCAGGGCAGCTCGTATAAAAATTGTATGTAGTACCAGGTTTCAGAATCAGACGTAGGGTAAATATAGAAGGTTTCCCAAGTTTTATTGCATTACTCCATGATGGTGAAATGTGGCAAGGTAAAGCAACCAAGTCACAAACAGGATATTCTATTCACTGGTGTGGGTGGCCTTGCTCTAAGCTGACTCCTGCTCAAACACTGCTATTTCAAAGAGTTTACAGAAAGTGAATGTACGATGAGCCAACAGAGCATCATGTAAATAACCTAGCACAGGGGTGAGTAATACTTTGTTATCCTGGGCCAGAGCTTATGACCTGGCTCCCTGTCACAGGCTGTAAATCTTTTCCCCTGGAGAGTTCAAGGTGTCTGCACATATTCTTGCTACAGATACAAGACTCCTCTGCACATGAAAGTACAGGCTGGAAGAGCACAGCAAAAAAAGGTGGGCTACAGAGGAGATAGGTGGCTCAGCACAACTCCGTGCTACCCAATTCTCCATGCTGCCCCAGACTTTCCCAGGCTGGATCCAACCTCTACAGCAGCTGAATCCAGACTGGGAGCTGTTGGTTGCCAACCCCAACTTGTAAAGTTTGTTTCATTAGGTTTAGATGTTGCAGTTGAAGGCCATTTTTTTTTTTTTTTTTTTTAATAGATTTATTTAAAGTTCTTCGCCTGCTGGCTGTCTGGGTTTGGGCATACACATATAAGCCTGCTGGCTGACCTCATGAGGGGGTGTAAATTAATTTAGGAGCTCACTTAACCAAGAAACTGATTAAGCTAGTGACACACAAGAGACAACAATACTAATCTCTTGGGAGACATTTTATTAACGTACAATAGACATTCTAGTTCTTCTCTGTATGTTATGTCTGCCAAACATCAAGGAAATATACTTTATTTGTTCATTTACAAAACTATCTGATGCTATTCAGTAGGCACCAGAGATCATAAAGACTTAAGTGCTACAGTATATTTTGTAGTGATTAAGTTGTCTTGTCAAGTTAATTAACCCGCCATTCCAACAAAGCACTTTTTGAATGTTCCTGGGAGTGTTCAAATGCCTCGCTTATAAATAATGATTGGTGTGCTCGAGTCCATTTGTTATACTGCTGAGTACAAGCATCTTCAATATAAAGATACCGTTTCAATACATCCTCCATATTTTGAGTGCTAAAGAATCTAATCATTACATCTCTCTTTCCTGAATCTAGTAATATGAATGTACAATTAAAAATAACTTCAGATGTTATTCAAAAGAATCAATTTTCAACCAAAAGCTTCATTGTTGACAATAATGAATGAGTATATTGCAAGTGATATTCTGCACCAGAAGCTGGAGAGGTTGGAACTGCAACTAAAAAGACTAAATATCAGCAATACAAACTTTTACATGAGCGCTGACCATTTAACCTGAATGTAGGATCAGGTACTTTAAAGTTTGTGCGCCTGTCAAGCAATTAAAACCTCCACACAAAAACAAAAATACTACAGAACAACAGTATTTCAAAAGAATAGCACATTAAACACTTTCATGACACCTTTCTTTTCATATTGGCAACTGAAACTTGACATCCACCTGAGCTTGCTTTGCTAAGGTTACTATTTCTGAGAGTTTCACAACCTGGAAAAAGGAAACAAAGAAAATTAAAACACGAACAAATTACAGTAAGCATTAAAAAAAAAAAAAAAAAGACTGCTTAGTTGACCTCAAAAGTGATGCCAGGAACAATTACTTTTAAGAAAAAAGAAACCTACATATGCATACCTTGCTACAAAAATAGTCTAGTAGTCCATTAAGAACTTGGCCATCTTGACAGGACTTATAAAACGTCTTAAAATAAAAACTCAGAGCCATGGGAATCAAAGTAACCAGACTCTCCCATTCAGTGACTGCTGCTATATTTCTGAAGCATTCAACCGCAGGACAAAGTGCCATGTACAGTTTATATTACAGACAGACCAGTTAGAGAGTATTAACCTTGGTTTGAAATTAAAACTATTTTTGACAAAGCACTACACTTTTTAAAGTGCTGCACTTAGCATGAGCCTTTCAGATAAGATCTTTTAGATAAACTTTGAAGATGGGTGGAAGGGCTGTTTCTTTTCTATTACCTATGGGGGGGAGGAGGGGGCAGAGGGCTTGGGGGCTATAGCCACCCCAAAATTCACCTTAGCTGCGCCCCCCCTGCCCCGCACCACTGTCCACTCACCATGCACAGATGAGCCCGCAAAAGGTGCAGCGCTCCTGGCAGAAGTGGCAGTATCAGCCTCTTCCCGGTGGGGGTCTGGACCAGGGCTAGGCTCAGAGAGGGCAGGCTCAGCTGAGCACGGCAGGTGAGCAGTGGTGGTGATGTTGGGAGGGTGAAGCCTCCCAGCCTGGCAGAGCCCAGCCACAGCCCTGCCCCAAACCCATGTACAAAAAAGACACAGAACCAACAATCTGCTCAAGTTTCTCCTCTACCAATAAAGCAAGTCCTTAAGTGCTGAAGTTCCAGATACACTACCTTCTGTCTACAAAGTAATTTGCTGCCTTATCCACTACTCACACACTGCTTTAAGTGGGTTTTTTTAGTAAATGGCATTATGCAAGCTAAAGACTTAAAAATATTTTATCCCCATCTACTCTTGTTTATTAACTGGGGAATTTGAGACATGTTAAAGCATAGCATCTATTGCAAATCTTGTATTACTAAACTCTTTTGCTCACCATTTTAGCAGCTTCATCCAAGTCATCACAGGCAAGGATTTTAAGACCACTAGCTGTTATTAAAGCTTTGGCATCATCAACTCGCGTACCTTAAAAAGCAAGTAGTTTTAACATAATAGATTTTAGTATTACCAAACATGTATTAACGTTCCCTAGCAAAGTCAGCTACAGTATGAATTGATGATGTTCAAGTGTTCCAGGACAGTTCTGCCAAAATACCTCTATTTTGACTTAATTATACTCCATAATAGGAGGTCTCTGCAGCACCACCACCAATTTTATTAGTTCTAAAAAAAAAAAAAAAAATCTTAAGTAAAAATGGGTACAAAGATAGAAAAGCCCTAATTGGCAAGTCACTAATATTTACAAGGTCTCAAGAAATAGTCTCAAAAAGTTTTTTTCTCTATTAAAAAAAAAAAAAAAAAAAAGCACACCTCTTCTCTTTAAAGTAACAGAATAGTTTAACTGCTGTAATTTTTTGCTGCTATAAAACAAAATAAATATATTTATGCAGTACACAGAAAAGTACATACCTTGCAATCGTACTACGATAGGTATTTTTAGGTCCAAGTCTTTTACTGCCATAATGATACCTTGTGCAATAACATCACATCGCATAATGCCTCCAAAAATATTGACCAGAATAGCCAGTACCTAGTAAGGAAGTAGCATACAAGTTTGTTTGGGTTTTTACACACACACACACACACACACACACAGTCAGCAACAGAATTATCATTCAAAATTAAATATTAATTAAATATTTTAAAATATTCACTAAAAGGTGGCCCGATTCCTAAAAATCAGTTCTGAAAATTTAACCTCCACATGTGCAATGCTAAGTACGTGATTATGAACGTAGGGGTTCTTTATTCTAGAGCAGTATTTCTTGATGGGGTGCCTCAAGATACTTTCAAGAGTGCCACTATGTTAGCAATGTTAAGGGTGCAAACTTGATACACAAGATAAACCCAGAATTATGAATAAAAAAATCAGAGTCTCAAAAGCATCAGTTAACCAGCTTGGACATAAGGAACATGAGGACTGGTGACTAGCTGTTCTATGCAAGTGCCTTGAACCAATCCAAGAGAGCTACAGTTCACATGCAGAGCAGTGCAATAGGGAGCCTCCACACATGGCACAATACATTACAGAGAGGAAAGAGTATCTGTGCACATGACATGGTGGAGCACTGAGAGGAGGGGTGCCCCTAGGCAATTCACAGCCTGCGGGGACATGGGTCACATTGGTATAGTCCCTAGCTTAAAAGTCCCTTGCTTAAAAGTCAGACAGCCTTAGTCTGACTTTTAAGCAAGACACGACAGTGTCCCTAAACATTCACTTTGTCTCCAAAGCATTCATTACCTTAACATTTATTACCTTCACATTTATCCAAGTCAACTGCCAGCATATTATCTGCTGCCTTTAAGATGACCAACAAAACCTAGATTAAAATTAATCAGCTGTCTTCAAAAACATCAAGCCACCATGGGATTGTAAAACAAACAAAAAAATCCTATTTACAGCCTTCTGTAGAGATTCCATAGAAGATGGGAATCCAAACAGACTGCAGTTTAACCCTTCTGAAACTGTGATAGTACATTACCTTGTCCCCTCCTTGTTAACAACTGCGACCTTATTAGCTGTTAAACAGCAATCATACAACAATTAAGTAATGTGAAAGTCTTTCATCATAAAACTAAGTTTTTATAACAAGCCTCAGAAGCCATGTGTACAAGCCTAATTTCTCCAGTTAATTAGTCAAATGAATGGATTTGATATTAAATATCTGTAATAGCAAGTTGCACTTCCTCCCTCCCACTGTGCACCTCACAGAAGTGCTGCCATGACCATTCCTCAACATGCATAAGAGATTACTTCCTTGACAGTATTCATTGAATCAATGGTTTAACCTTCATTCCAATAGTTTTTAGATGACCTGTTCTCAATGTTCATGATCTAGCAAACATTTTTAGGAGCCTAGGGCTTTCTTCCCTGGCTTAGTATGGTTTTTTCTGATTTTTGTAAGGGTCTTAAAAGCACACATTCTGATGACCAAAGCATACAGTAGTAATAAACTGGTAACTCAACTCCTGTTTGAAATGCTTTGTCTGCAAACCCCCAAAACACAGTGATACAAGTACAGTGCAAGGGATGAGCCCTGGAACCTAACCACAATGACACAGAAGTTATCCCACTACTGTTTATCCAACACAGCAAATGCAAGGTACTCTGTTGGGAACTGCAGGTTCAACCACCTGCTCTGGGTGAAGGGGCAGCCTAGAATCTGGGTCTCCCTTCATGTGACCTAACAAGTGTCCAAATAGGCAAGACAGAGCAAAACCGAGGGGGGAAAAAGAAAGTGAGGGCTAAGACAACCATCCATGTACTAAGTAACAGCAGGATCTAGAAGTGACTTAGAGAGCCACTTGGGCACATAAGATAAAGAGTACATGACTTGTAGGCCTAAATCCTATCACACTGCAGCTCTTTGGATAAAACAAAGCTACTCAGCATTCATTTCTTTGATTTGATATGGCACATCTCACTAGTACTTGGTTCAATTTCTTATCAAATGCCCGTCCATACGGCCTTTCACTCAAAAGTATTTCCTGTCTATTTCCCACCACACATAATCCTCCAGTGGCCCAACTTACTAGCTGTTCCAACTTCCTCCTCATTCAACACTATCAAAGAGCCATGTGTATAGTGTATTGTTCTTAGCTGTACTACTCTCCTTCCAACTCTTTAGCATGCCGGGTGTTGTATGGAATCCCATCACACACATTACATTCACTCTAGCAAGCTACTGGCCAAGTTGTAAATCTGTTAATTTCGCTCTCATTGCTGCAGCTTAAGCTTCTTATAGCAGCATAGTAAATTCAGTAGTATACAGCATGTTTATAAATTTCTTGTGCAAATTTAAACTTTAATAACTTTGGATATACACATGATAGAAGCGAGCTGTGAGTGGCAACTGAAAGCATAATAATTCATTAAGATTTTTAGCATAGTGTAAGCAATGCATAGGGTAAAGGTCACAAATGTAATTCATGAAAGCATTCTGGAAAATGTTTTCTACAAGTTGGAAAATCCGATTGAATGATATATCACGAAAGATGGCAGTTATGTTGAAGTCTAGGAGTTTGAGCTGTACCGTTTTAAAACTTAATGCATTATGCTTTCAATTTCTGTTTACAGTTTGCTTCTATCATGTGCAAATCCAAAGTTATTAAAGCTTAAAGTTGCACAAGGACATTATAAACACCTTGTATGTAATGTACATCAGAACTGAGCAAAGTTTGAACAACTAACTGATAGATGCCTGTAAAGGCTCTCTGGAAAAGATTCAAATACACTTTGCCCCTTCTGCAACGAGCTGAGAAACTTCCTTTGTCCAAAAATCTGGGCTCAATAGGTAAGAAAAAAACCCTTAAATATGTTTTTGTGGCCTCTTAGTCCACATCATAAAGGACAAAGAGATCAAAACAGTTCTCTCTCTCTCTGTAGTCTCCCTTAAGACAATGACATGTTTACTAAAGATAAGCATTATGTGTCATTTCAAAATGCAATTTGTTATTTAATACTGCAGACACTTGAAATGCCAGTCCCTCTCTTACCTTTTTATCTGAAGTAATAAGTTTAAAGGCCTCAGTTACTTGATGCACAGTAGCACCCCCACCAACATCAAGGAAATTTGCTGAAGTCCCTCCATGAAGTTTAATTATATCCATTGTGGCCATAGCCAAACCAGCACCATTTACTTTAAAGAAAAAATAAAGTGCATTTAGGAATTCCATTAGCAAACACAACAGCATTTAAAACTCTGTTATATAAATTACATACCCAGGCAGCCTATGTTTCCATCTAATCCTATGTAGTTGAGGTCGGCTTTAGCTGCATCTCTGTCTCTTTCATCCTCCTGCGTCCAGTCCTGGAGATCAAAGATTTTTTTCTGACGATATGCTGAATTACTATCAAAGTTTATCTTCGCATCCATACACATCACTTGTAAGATTGAAAAACAAAACAGAAACAAAAGATGCCGTTAATGTTCCTCACTTAAAGCCACAACTATTTCTCCAATGTACATACAATAGAATACATGTTAAGTACTCACATTCAACTGGTTTCTTAGGGCACAGGCTACTTTATGAAATTTCTGCTCCAAACTTTTGCCAAAACAATATTTTATGTAAACTAGCATCATAGGACTAGACAATACCATAGCATTGTCTCCCAGATGTACTACAAGTTATAGAATCAGAAAGTGGATTATGGCTGCCTGAATAGTGCATGTAACATGTAAAAATGCATTTCTTGAAATGAAATTCTTTCACAGTTTAGGATATGTTTTATTATGTGCCTGGATCAGTTGCATACTACTGAAATGACAAACTGTCACATCAATCCTTCCACAGTGCCACCTCTGTTATATTTTTATCACATTTTGGTTCCTGCTTTTAGATTAAAAGTATGGGTTTCATATAAAAAGGTAGAGCAAAGGAGACCAATGCAGTCCCCTTAAACACAAAAAAGGGTTCTTCCGCAGGTTTCTTTTCTGAGGAAACAATAGCTTAGTATATAACAACTTACATCTGTGCTTGGGCACAAAAAGAATCGACTGTTGGAAAAACAATAGGCTAGCAATTAGCACTAAAAAATGATGAAAGAACTGTTGAATAATCCAAGTATATACATCACCTCTTCAGAGCAGAATGAATATTTTCATTTAAGAGCAGCCATAAACATTACTTAGTTTTTTGTTAACCTACTTGGAACACCTTAAAGGGGGGCCCAATTTTCAGTTAGCATGATTTTTAGATGCAAGGTTTTCAGAGCCTTGATGCCTAGTCACTTCTGAAAGGTCTCAACTTAAGACTGCTAACCAGGACTTCTAAACATTTGATCCGGTGCCTAGTAGTCTAGAGTTGAATGCACACTGAATCTAAAAACCACTCAAATTGCACTAAATTTATCTGTAGTTATTTAGGTGCTACAGTTTCCTAAATTAATGTTTCAAAGGATCATGTTAAATTATCTCGCTATGCGCAAAGGAAAATTTTAGCAGAGTTTCCGCACCAGACAATATGCTTTATGAAATGCCAAATTCAAATCCCCCTTATGAGCATTAGTAAAGGAGGAAACTTTACCAATTCCTGAAGCATCTTCTACCATAGGGTTTATTTCTATCATGGTGGCATCATACTTCAGAAAGAGATTATATATCTTGATCATGTTTTCTGCTGCTTCCTCCACCAGGTTAGGAGGGAATCCCATTTTCTGGGCCAGCTGAAAGTAAAAGAAATAATGAGATCATTAAATCATTACATTTCTGGTTACTGGACTTCTTAGCCTAGTGGGTAATTTTGTTTTGGCACAAGCCTAATCTGTGGCTATAGACCTTCACTTGTCTTGAGTGAAAACTTGCATTTGAGGGATTTATCTAGTTTAAAACACAAAAAAGTCTGCATTGCCCTACAAAGGCTAGTGAATTATACGTCAAATGTATTCAAGGGAAAGGGCCATGGCAGGAGCACATGCATGCTGCAGATCAATGCATGGCTGTGCAGGCAGTGTCACCAGCAAGGATTCTGCTTCTTTGAGCATGGGATGTTGTTCCAAGAAGGATTGCTGGGAAGAGATGGGATCTAATTGACAAAGAGAGGAAAGAGCATCTTTACAGACAAGTTCGCCACCTTAGTGAAGAGGGGTTTAAACTACGTTCACCAGGGAATGGAGAACAAAGCCCTGAGGTAAGTGGGGGAGTGGGGGACTCGGAAGAAGCATAAGCAGGAGGGGACGCAGCAGGAGAGGCTTCATTTTTCCTGAAAAAGTAGGGCAACTGGCTAGTCACCTCAGTGGTGGAAAAAACAGGTTAGGGACTATTTAGAAAAGATAAATATGTACAAATCCATGGAGCCAGATGCGAATGCATCCAAGGGTGCCAAGGGAGTTGGCTGATGTGATTGCAGAGCCACTGGCCATCAACTGTGAAAACTCATGGCAATCGAGGGAGGTCCCAGACGATTGGAAAAGAGCAAATATAGTACCCATCTTTAAGAAAGGGAAGAAGGAGGATCCAGGGAACTATAGACTAGTCAGCTTCACCTCAGTCCCCAGAAAAAGCATGAAGGTACTTGAAGAATCCATTTCTAAGCACTTGGAGGAGAAGGCAATTAGGAACAGTCCCCATGGATTCACCAAGGCCAAGTCATGCCTGACCAACCTGATTGCCTTCTATCATAAGATAACTGGCTCTGCAAATATGGGGAAAGCAGGGGACATAATACATTTTGATTCTAACAGGGCTTTTGATACCATCTGCCACAGTATTCTTGCAAACCAGCTAAGAAAGTATGGGTTGAATGAATGGACTGTAAGGTGGACAGAAAGCAGGATTGTCAAGCTCAACGGGTAGTAGTCAATGGCTCAATATCTAGTTGGCAGCCAGTATCAAGTGGAGTGCCACAGGGGTGAGTCCTGGGACCAGTTTTGTTCAACATCTTCATTAACGATATGTAAGATGGGATGGAATGCACCCTCAGCAAGCATGTGGATGACATCAAGCTGGGGGGTGTGGTAGATACACTAGAAGGTAGGGCTTAGGCTTCAGAGTGACCTAGACAAATTGAACCTCTTGATAGTTCCTTTGGCCCAATCCTCCAACAAGGGCAAGTGCAAAGTCCTGTACTTAGGACCGAAGAATCCTTTGCACTGCTACAGCCTGGCTAAGCAGCAGCTCTGCAAAGAAGGACCGGGGGGTTACAGTGGACAGTAAGATAGATGAGTCACTAGAGTGTCCTTACTGCCAAAATGGCCATCAGCATATAGGCTGCATTAGTAGAAGTGTTGCCAGGAGATCAAAGGAAGTAGTTATTCCACTCTATTCTACACTGATAAGGCCACATCTGGAGTACTGTTGTCCAGTTTTGGGTCCCCCACTATAGAAAGGATGGGGATAAGTTGGAAAGAGTCCAACAGGGAGCAAGGAAAATGGTTCAGGGGCTGGGGCACATGGACTTATGAGGAGAGGCTGAGGGAACTAGGCTTATTTAGTCTGCAGAAGAGAAAAGGGGGGGGAGGGGGCAGACTGGATAGCAGCCTTTAACTACCTGAAGGGTGGTTCCAAAGAGGATGGAGCTAGACTGTTCTCAGTTGGTGGTAGATGAGAAAACAAGAAGCAATGGTCTCAAGTTATAGCAAGGGAGGTTTAGGTTGGATATTAGGAAAAACTCTCTCACTAGGAGGGTGATGAAGCACTGGAACAGATTACCTAGAGAGGTGGTGGAATCTCCACCCTTGGAGTTTCTAAGGCCCAGCTTGACAAAGCCCTTGGGGCTGGTCCCGCTTTGAGCACGGGTCAGACTAGATGACTTCCTAAGGTCCCTTCCAACCCTAATTTTCTATAATTCTATATATGAGCCTTAAGTTAAATTCCAACATATGGTGCTAGATTTATATTATTATAAACTGAAAGCTACATTATAATATCTAGTATGAAATCAACTTAGCAGGCTATATGTAAATATACTTAGCAAATTTTAGAAGCAACACTCCCCTCTAATTGTTAATGTGAAAAAGTACTTCAAGTACCCCAACAGCTTGCTCCTTTTTGATGCCTTCCACAATATCAACAGGTTCCTTAATTATCGCATCAGGATTCTCCGCTGCAACATCTTCAATATTAACACCACCCTGAGAACTTCCTATTAGCACAGGACCCTAAAGAAAAAACACACACACACACACACACACACACACACACACACACACAAAGGTAAAGTTTTATACCATTCAATATTTTCTTTCCACAAATAGTCCAAAAACCTCTTATTCACAGTAGGAAATTTTTGGTTTTGACACTCCACTAATTAAAGTTTGTTTTTACAAAATATCACCCTTGCACCCAGTATACTTATATAGGCTCCCTTTAATTATATATTTCAAGCTAGAACAGATCTAAACACTTGCATCAAAAGAAGCATTTCCTTTGTTAATTTTGCTATTAACAGTGGAACAACATACAGTACTGGTTTTACACTAGGATCAGAAAACACAGTTATGGAAAAGCACATAGGTTGGTGACTTCTAGGAACACTGTTACTGAACATGAACCACCTGTGTTTCCCTCCAAACTTAGATTTGCTCTCAGGTGCTCAGACACAGCAGGTCTGTACAGTCATTTACAATGATCCTGGTGCTTTATTCCTGTTCAGTGGGATCACAAGCCTTGAAATCTATATCCAGTTCTGAAAACTTATTCCAGTATTGGCAAAACATAGCTTGACTGTTCAGTGACTTCACTAACAATTATGTCTCTGAAGAAGCACCAAGGACTCGATGATCACGTAGAATGAACGACCCTTTGACCCTCTCTACCTTGGACATGGTGCCTCATCTCAAACTTGACAACTGCTTCTACTGACAATCAGCTTTCACTGTCAGTCACTACACAGGCTGACCTGTTGCATGGATGCAAGTTTGCTGCTTGCTGGGCTATGAAAGCAGCACTTCTTAGAAGTACATAAAGACATTAAAAAAAAAAAAAGACACTTTACAACTACTGACTACTGGTTGTCAGGAGGAATGCACTGCACCACCAGGCAGGCTTAGAAGAAAAGAAAAGGAACCTTGGTATGTTAGAGGATTTTACTGCAGGAGAGGAAATAAAAGTCAAGGTTCTTCACCAGCTTATTCTTAACTGTGTACCAAGAACAGTCACAAGCTACAAATATCTTTGAGATCCATTACAGATGTTCATTGAATTGAAGTTATTAGTTCTGTTAAGACGTGGGAAAATAGGCCTTGCTATGGTAGGACACTCAGAAAAGTTGGTATGTTTTACATACAGGGATTTGAAATAGTCAATTACTGTAGTTACGCAGAATAGAAGATGATCCTGGTAAGACAGCTTCCCAATAATTAGATTCTATATATAAAGGGGTGTCAACTGGAGGTACAGGTACCCCTGGGGGTACTTGAGACGGACCTAGCGGGTACATGCACACGGGCAGGGATGGAATGCTACCATGCAGCATCCTGCACTGCTGTGCACGCGTCACCAGCCCAGCCAGGCGCAAGGGGATGGGGAAACTCGCATGTGGAGGCTGCCGTCCCTCGGCGTCCAGCTACTCGGCACTCCCACTGCTTTCTGCCCGCTCCCCTCCTTCCCCCCACTCAGCAGCCAGGGGTACACAGCTCTGCATCTGGCTGCCAGGGGGTACAATGACACAAAAAGGTTGAAAACCCCTACTATATGAAAAAAATTGTTATAATTTCCAGGTATAGAATCTAATAATTAGCCCTTTGTCTTGAATTTGTCCCTCCCCCACTGCTACAGCAGGGAAAATAGATCTGGGGGTCAGGTAGCTCTCTGCTCCCTGGCTCCCCCACAGCTTTTTTCCCTAGCAGCCTCTTCCCCCTTTCCTAACTGTCAGAACCTGCTCTCCCTGAGCATGTGGAAGTGAGAAGCAAACTTGAAAACAATACCCTTGAAATCAAACATGGCTGTAGCAACTTGCATATAGTACCCATAGTTTATCCAGAATTGATGCTGCAGGAACAGTGCCTGGCTGGTGCCTGCCAGGTCATTTCAAGCTGTGTGCAGTGTTCCTGGCCAGCCAGTACAGGGTCACTTCAAGCTGCTGCCTGCCAGCGTGCGCCAACTTGCTTTGGTGCCCTCTGGCTGGAAACCCCACATGCAGCTCAAAATGACACAGTAGGCACCATAGGCTAGGCACCATCCCTGCAGTCCAGGGTTTTTGGCCAGCACGTGCTGAGTTGCTCCAAGCTGCTGCCCCAGTAGCAGGTGCTGGAGTAACTCATCACATGCTGGCAGCCTGGCTGGGTCCCTTTCTGTGTGCTGGGTTACTCCAGTACCTGCTGCTTGAGCAGCAGCTCAAGAAAAATCAGCATGTGCTGGCCATAAATCCCATACGCTGAGGGGACGGTGCCTAGCTGGCACCTGCCAGATCATTTCAAGTCACACATGGGGCTTCTGGCCAGTGGGTGCCAAAGCAGCTCAGCATATGAATATGCTGACAGGCACCAGCTTGGAGTGACCCTGCACTGGCCACCCAGGAGCCCTGGACACTGAGGGGAGCCCAGGCAACTGCTGCTAGCCAGCCAGCCATGTGCTAGGTGCCTGGCCATGCTGCCTTCTCACTAACCTTGCCATCCCCTGTGAATTTGCTGATTTCAGGTAAAATTGTATGTGATCAAACGACAAGGCTTGATTTTCCCTACGCTGAATGGAGGAAGAGAGTCATTTTATAAACTGAGTAAATACATTAATTCACACCTTGCAGTTAATCCAGATTCATTTTCCATGAATGTCCCATGGAGATAAATCTCGAAGTTCACTTTTGCTTTTATCCTTAGATGTTTTTATTTAGCTATCTTTTGGAAGCCTGGTTTTACACCATTATCAGAATATATAGTACACTGTACAATCAGAGTCATAGAAAATTAGGGTTTGAAGGGACCTGAGGTCATCTAGTCCAACCCCCTGCTCAAAGGAGGACCAGCCCCAACTATATCATCCCAGTCAAAGCTTTATCTAGCTGAGTTTTGAAAACCCTCCAAGGATGGAGCTTCCACCACCTCTCTGGGTAACATGTTCCAGTATTTTACTACCCTCCTAGTGAGAAAGTTCTTCCCACTATCTAACCTAAACTTCCCTTGCTGCAGTTTGAGACCATTTCTCCTTGTTCTGTTACCTGCCACCACAATCTAGCACCATCCTCTTTGGAACCACCAGTCAGGTAATTGAAGGCTTCTATTAAATCTCTTCTCACCCCTCTCTTCTCCAGACTATAAGCCCAGTTCCCTCAGTCTCTCCTCAGAAGTCCTGTGCTCCAGGTCCCTAACCATGTCTGTTGACCTCTGCTGGACTCTCAAATTTGTCCACAACATTTTTGTAGTGGGGTGCCCAAAACTGGACACAGTACTCTAGATGTGGGCTCACCAGGGCCAAATAGGGATAAAGAATCACTTCCCTCAATCTGCTGGCAACACTCCAATGTAGCCCAGTATGCTATTAGCCTTCTTCACAACAAGGGCACACTGTTGGTTTATATTCAGCTTACTGGTCACTGTATCCCCCAGGTCCTTTTCTGCAGAGCTGCTGCTTAGCCAGTCAGTCCCCAGGCCATACCAGTGCATGAGACCGTTCTGTCCTAAGTGCAGGGTTTAGCACTTGTCATTACTGAACTTAGTGAGATTTCTTTTGGTCCAATCCTTCAATTTGTCAAGGTCTCTGTGAATCCTAACTCTACCCTCCAGCATATCTACTATTCCCCACAGCATGGTGTCACCTGCAAACTTGCTGAGAGTGCATGCCATTCCATCTTCCAGGTCACTGTTGAAGATACTGAGCAAAACCAGGCCCAGGACCAACCCCTGGGACATTCCACTCGATGCTAACTACCAACTAGTAGTTGGGTCGGACTCGATCTATTGAGGTCCCTTCCGACCCTAACATCTATGAATCTATGAAACTAGACATTGAGCCATTGATTACTACACACTTTGAGTCCGAAGACCCCGTCAGTTTTCTATCTACATTACAGTACGTTCACATTCATCCAACCCATACTTCTATAGCTTGCTTGCAAGAATTTTGTGGGAGATTATATAAAAAAAAATGTTGCTAAAGTCCAGATATATCACATCCACTGTTTTGCCCATATCCACAGAGCCGGTCATCTCATGATAGAAGGCAATTAGGTTGAACAGACATGGCTTTCCCTTGGTGAATCCACGCTGACTGTTCCTAATCATATTCTCCAACTGCTTAGAAATGGATTCCTTGGGAACTTGCTCCATGATTTTACCAGGGACTGAGTTGAAGCCAACAGGTCTGTAGTTCCCTAGATCCTCTTTCTTCCCTTTCTTCAGATGGGCACTATATGTACCCTTTTCCAGTCAGCTGGGACCTCTCCCAATGGCCATGAGTTTTCAAAGATATGGTCAGCAGCTCTGCAATCACATCTGTCAGCTTGCTCAGTACTCTGGTGTATCACATCCACTCCCATGGACCTGTACAGGTCCAGCTTTTCTAAATAGTCCTTAACCTGTTCTTTCACCACTGTTGGCTGCTTACCTCCTCCTCCAGCTGTGCTGCCAGGTACAGTAGTCTGAGAGCTGACCTTGCCTGTGAAAACTGAGGTGAAAAGGTATTGAGTACTTGAGCCCTTTCTGCGTCATCTGTCACTAGGAGGTCCAAGGATTTTGAGGACCTCCACCAGTAACGAACCAAAGCTTTCTCTAATATTTCTCTTGTTGCAAACATACTTGTAGAAACCCTTCTTGCTGTTACCCTTCACATCCTTTGCTAGTTGCAACTCCAGTTGAGTTTCTGCCTTCCTGATTACAATCCTGCATGCCCAAGCAATACTCTTATGCTCCTCCCTAGTTATCTAAGTTTCCATCTCTTGTAAGCATCCTTTTTGTGTTTAACCTCACTGGAGAGTTCCCTGCTAGCCAAGCTGATCTTCTGCCTTATGTTAGTCTTCCTGTGCATAAGGATGGTTTGTTCCTGCCACTTCAGTAAGGTTTCTTAAAAGTACATCCAGGTCTCCTGGACTCCTTTGACCCTCGAACTGGCCTCCTAGGAGATCCTACCCATCAGTTTCCTGAGAGATTCAAAGTCCAGGGTCCTTACTCTGCTACACTCCATCCTTCCTTTCCTCAGGATCCTGAACTTAATCATCTCATGGTCA